GAACGGTACGATCTTCTCATCAAATCCAGATTTTGAAGAGCATGCCTCGTCCATCAGGCAAGAGTGACATCATGAGGCACAACGTACAGCCTCAGTTCATCACCAGTGCCATTTAATCTCTTGCACAAGTATTCAGATTTGCCAAATGAATGAGAATATGTGAGCATACATAATATGTAAAGTAAAAAACACACAAACAAATCTCTCCCTTTTTAAAGCATTGTTGTCTTCATCCTAAGCAATTGAACAGAAGGAATGTTTGTGTGTGGAAGCCATTGCAAAGAGGAACAACTTTATAAGATTCTAGACAAGGTAGAAATACCAATTTCCAACTATGGGGCGTCCCTCAATAAGGCTTGTAAAAGTGAGGGAAATTTGCTGCAGCTGGAATGATTCAGCCAGAGTCTGGTAAAATATATTGTTTCTGCCACAGAAAGTTAAGAATAGAGCTGCCAGCCATGGAGGAATATATACACTGGCATAATCAAGAGTGCTGACCCGACAGTCGAAAGGGCGCCAAATATCATACCCTAAGACCACAGCTTTGCCAAACTAGTTAAAAGTCTTCAGCTTTCTGGCACAAGTCTCATTCAGAAGCAATTGGTGATGTGTGCCTACTGTTCTGAGACACTACTTCAGCAAAGAAACGAAACTTTGGCTGGAAAATTGTGGGTTGGAAGGAGAGGATGAAAAAAGACCATCTGGAGAAATGTCAATCGGATGCTAAAAACCCCACAATGAACGACAACAACCTGATGCCATGAAGATGTATTCTTCAGCAGAAACCTTCTTAATAGTCTTCAGAGGGGATTTCCTATTAGTTACAGAATGATCTTCAAAGGGTAACTATTTTCACATGAGGCCATTAACAAAAGGATATGTTTTCTCTCCCTGGTGTGCTTTCAGATTTCTCAATTACTGCCTATACAAATAAGATTAGACCGAGATGTATTGTGGTGGTGTTTGCTTAAATTTCATACCAAATCATTCTCATGGATTCTCATCTTATTTGAGGCCCTACACCTACGGTAAGGGGTTAACCATTTTTAGCCCAAATGCCATATTTACCAATATCCAAACTTCTAGGAACTGTGTACCACTGGTGAGAGTGTCTCTTCCCCCCAAACACACATAGCGAAACATACACAGCTGCCCCATCCCCAGCTAATCTGTGCAGATCAGATGAGGTAGAGGTTTATCGTCTCCTCACTCTTCCTCAAATGACTTGGAAAGCTGTTGAGATCACATATTTATAGCAACTAAACTATAAGGAAATCAGCCCTGAGTGCTCACTGGAAGGACAGATCGTGAAGCTGAGGCTCCAGTACTTTGGCCACCTCATGAGAAGAGAAGACTCCCTGGAAAAGACCCTGATGTTGGGAAAGATGGAGGGCACAAGAAGAAGGGGACAACAGAGGATGAGATGGTTGGATAGTGTTCTCGAAGCGACCAGCATGAGTTTAACCAAACTGCAGGAGGCAGTGGAAGACAGAAGTGCCTGGCGTGCTCTGGTCCATGGGGTCACGAAGAGTCGGATACGACTAAACGACTAAACAACAACAAACTCTAAGTATAGCATACCAATTTATCTCTATATCAAGGCATTCTCTCCAGTACAGGCTTCACAATGCTCATCCTATTCAACACAAGCTTCTCCGCCTAGGAGGTAGCAAGATTTTGATTCTCACGAAGCCAAAATGACCCTGGCCACACAGTCAGTACAAACCAGGTGGGCCAACTCCTAGGGGCAGAGTTGTGCTTTTGGACCCCTCAATTGCTGTCAGGGAGCTGAACCCCCTCAACGTTGAGGGGATGGAGGAAGCCAAGCACTGAGCTGAGCATGACGCAGTTCAGTGGCTGGCTTCTCTTGAGCGTGAAAGAGGAAGCCACACTGTGCTGGGTTCTGTGATCAGCCCCTTCCCGATGATGCGACAGCGCCTCTGGTATAAACCATGATAATGTTAGTGCCAGGCATCAGAGGATCTAACCCTCGTGGTAGGTTGCCAGGAATGGATAAGACAAGGAAAGTTCTTACCAACTGCATTTTATTCAATATTCACAGAGAGAGCGAGGCTTGGAAATGCAGCCTTATGGAATAATGGCATTACTCCTAGTAAATCTTCAACCCCCTTCTCTCTCACTTCCTCATTTGTCAACAGCATCACCACCCTTATGGTTGCCACTTAGGGCCATCTGTCTCTGAGCTCTTTGCTCTCCTACTTTTAAGGCTTGCCAGGTTCTGGGAGATGGTGGCTCTGGAATGCTTTCTAGTGACAACGTGTCAGCCAGATGCTGCTCCAGCTCTGCTTGCTCCTCCTCTCCCATTATTTCCCAATCCCCCCCCATCTTCCTCTGAGCTGTGACCTACCCGCAAACACCTGTTGCAATTCAGAACTGTCTTCTTCTTCTCTGGAAGAGTCAGACTGAGGAGGTGGTCTCCACCATTCCTCCTCTGCGCAGTCCCTGACAGTTAGAGTGCATGGCAAATCAAGCAACCTGGTTGCTTTTATGACCTAAACAATACTTAGTGCATGATCAGAATTTTCATTGTTGTCAACACACTGGACACAGGGCATGGCAGAACAGTCAGATGAGAAAGTTCCATCCTTACAGCCTCATTAATGTGCTATACCTAGGGCCAATCTGGGATCCATGTGCACCAGCTTTTAATGAAGTGAAATGAGTCAGAGAGATGTGTAGAGTGAATATGCCTGTTATACACACACACACACACACACACACACACACACACATATATAAAGGTAAAGGGACCCCTGACAGTTAAGTCCAGTTGCGAACGACTCTGGGGTTGCAGTGCTCATCTTGCTTTACTGGCCAAGGGAGCCAGCGTTTGTCCTCTTTGCAGACAGTTTTTCTGGGTCATGTGGCCAGCATGACTTAGCCGCTTCTGGCGAAACCAGAGCAGCGCACAGAAATGCCGTTTACCTTCCCGCCGGAGTAGTACCTATTTATCTACTTGCACTTTTACCTGCTTTCAAACTGCTAGGTTGGCAGGAGCAGGGACCAAGCAACAGGAGCTCACCCTGTCGCAGGGATTCGAACCACTGACCTTTTGATTGGCAAGCCCAAGGCTCAGTGGTTTAGACCACAGTGCCACCTGCGTCCCATATATATATATATATATATATATATATATATATATATGCACGCAAAAAAGTAAAGTCTTCTTGGGAACACATTGAAGTACAAATATTTTCTTGTCAAGCTACCCCTATCTTACTCTCTTGCCACTAAACTATAACTGTAGTCTACATTACTTAAATGCTTCTCATAATGTTACAGTTACAATTGGAAGCAGCTTATCCCGAGCTTAGATGATTATTGTGCAATCATTTACCGCATGTTCCTTTAGATGTCTATTTCCTTTTGAGCCATCTTTAGTGCCTTAGGTAACAGGAAAGAGAGAAGATATACCACCCCTTCCCAGGCTAGGTTCCTGGGGTTCTAAGCAGGGGATGAGCTTAAGAGAAATTGTCTTGTATTTCTGGATTCCTGAAATACGAGTCTAATTGAGCATTGGAAGAAATCCATTAAAACTGTCTGTAAAAATAATTTCCCCCTGAATGATTATCCATATAGTATCATTGCTTATACAGTTGTAAAAAACATTTAGCACTTTATAATCCAATCTTTGCTCCTATGCAGGCCTGGGAACGTGTTCTACTTACACAATTTTGAAATGCCTAGAAGGGTAACAACTTTTACAAAGTGTTCCTTGTGGAAATCACTTGGAAGCTTTCCAGGATGGCATTCCAGATGTTATAGTTTTAGCAGCCACAAGCAGCCACTGCATTGTATTTCCAGATCCAATATACAAAATCTGTTGATTATTTATGTGGAGGTAGGCCTTTCACCTTAAACTGAGAACAACGTTAGTGAATCATTCCATAACTCTGCTTTAAACATGTAGGCTGGGAATATCAACCAGAGCAGCAAGAGACCCTGAACATGGGTCTCTGTTTCAGCTGATACAGATGTTGTTTCTCAAGTGGGTGATGGAAGGACACTAGAAATTGAGAAAGATCAAGATACCCAAGAGGTATTTCAGGAGTCATCTGAACAATCTGCACAAATTCAAATCTATGGGATGTGAAAAGGGCCATATATAGATTTGGGCCTGGAAAATTTTGACCTGTTATATTGTTCAATAAGGTGTGCAACAGTATTCCAAACAATAGCTTGGAGATTCAGGTAGGTAGCCATGTTGGTCTGATGCAGTCGAAATATATATAAAAATAAAAAAATTGTCCAGTAGCACCTTAGAGATCAACTTAGTTTGTTCTTGGTATAAGCTTTCATGTGCATGCACACTTCTTCAGATACACTGAAACAAAAGTCATTCCTGTCTCATTACATATGCTAACCCTCTGCATACTATCCCTTGCTTTTTCCTGTAGGACTAATTGAAGTCGTTAACAGTCGTCAACAGGTTTACCATAACCATTGAGTCAATCACCCAACTCCAACTACTCGTCTGAGAAAAACCCCACCCTACCCTCCCACTATATATAAGGGTCCAGTGACTTCTGTTTTAGTGTATCTGAAGAAGTGTGCATGCACACGGAACCTTATATCCAGAAAAAACTTAGTTGATCTCTAAGGAGCTACTAGACATTTTTTAAAATTTTATATATATATTTCAATAGCTTGGAGGGTAGGGCATTAGAAGACATTTAAAATAGATACATGTGTAGGTACCTTTTCTGGTCCTGATGACCCTTGTCAGGTGATTTCCCCCCTCTGTGGTATGAGACCATTGTGGGTGACATGAAATACAGCCTTATTTCCTAGACTGGGGAAGCAAAAGTACTACTCTTCTCTTGTTTTGACCTTGGCTTCAACTACATATGAAAGGCTTTATTTTCAGTCCATGTTAATTTCCCACAAGTCTATCAATATGCACTTGGGGGCAAAATCTCCATGAAGATTTGTATATTCTTGCATGTTTGATCACAAAATTGCATATTGCATATCCATGCATGCACTTCTAAGCATATTTTATCCTAAGCATTTTTTGAGCTGAGAACTGTCTTGCAAATTTCAGAGAAACGTGAAATCCGAAGTGTAAGTATTTCTGATCAGCATGTTAAATTTGGTAAGTGCGTATCAAGTCAGTTTACAATGGAATTCACACAAATTTAATTCCCCACACATTCCTGGCTTCAACAACATACTCTTTTTGACTGAATAATACACCGCTTATTCCTTATGCTTTTATACCAAATGGATTTCCTGGGTTCAATTCTGAGTACTATTGTTGAAGGTGCACATTGACATGGATTCGAAATAGTTCAATGCAAAACAAGAAAACAGTAAAATGAACCTTAAAGGCAAATACTGTCAAGCCAGCCTGAAGTAACTCAGTACACCTAACTAACAAAAACAGTATTAAAACATTGCGATCCTTTATAATGTGTATCTAAGGGTAGATGCTACTGAACTCAGTGGAACTGAGCAAAGATACATATGATGAAGTTAGATGGGGGCGGGGTAAAGCAAGAAACTCAGACAAGGGGGAAGACTGATAATAGTATGACTGGAGAGCTAAATATATGTTGGGCCTTGTTTATTCTGCATTAGATCTCTTTACATAGATTCCCAAAATGCCCCCACAGTAGGAAAATTGGGTATCTGAACTTTTCTCTCTCACACAAAAAGTCCTGGGTCAATTTATTTGCCCGTTATCATGTTTAAATCTTGCAGAGGTATTTAGGAAGGGATCGGAGGAAGGGTTCGTGCTACTAACACAAACGAAAGAGTTTAACAAAAACTATTTCAAAACACAACCGCATTGTGCTACGACAGCGCTGAAAGTTCAGGGAGAGAGGGAAAACCGTGTTTCGGCTTTGCCACTGGCAAACATTCTGTCAAGCTATCCCTTCCTCTCTGCCCAACCAAAACCATACTTAAAAAACGAAAAGGAAACATGTTTCCAAGCTACACCGGCCGGGTTTACACTGGCTGTTGTAGCTTCACTGGGTCACAAGGAGGGGGGAAGAGAAGCTCGCTCACATTTAATTTGCCCATCCTGAAGTATTTTCTCCGAGTGATGCCAAATACCATAAAGCTCTCTGTCAGTGATTTGAAATTATTGTACGAGCTGCATATCGGGTACACTATTGTTAATGAAATGCACACAAGATGATAAACAACTTCCTTTTCCTGCTGAAGCCCAGCTGCAAGCAGGCCCTCTATCCTTGATGCAGTAAATCAAGCCTTTGTACTCCAGGAGGATTCAATCAGCTGCAGGTGTGGGCCCGCCAAAGCCCGCCTGGGATTAGGTAGCAGCATTTGATATGAGATCCCAAACAGCACCAGCAATCTACACGCCACATGCGGCCAGTCTTTGGAGAAAGCAAAGGAAAAACGCTGATGAAATGTGGCACAGGACCATGGAATGCAATTTCAAACTTCCACATCTGCAGGAAAGGGAGAAAAAGGAAAGATCCTAATTTTACAGCGATGATGTCACGGGGAGCACATGACAGTGGAAGCGATGGCCCGAAGCATGAAAATTAACCACTTAGTTTATGTATGCCACAACTGCAGCAAGGATTTAATATGCGCAGAAGTGGAAGGAAACAGAATGGACCAGAAGAATGGACCAACAGAGCTAATGGACTATTCCGAAATGGCAAAACTAGACTAAGAGCCTCTAACGACAAGGTGTTTGTAATAGAATGGAAACCCCTTTCCGGATTACTTAAGTAAATACTTTAATTCTTTTTCAACACGAGATGTGTTTATATCTTGAGCAACCGGAGGACAAGAGTATGTTATTTTCAGGTTTTACACTACGTGTAATGTTAGAAATCAATGGGCAGTTCAGAGAGTGGAGACAGAACGTCTTATAGAGTGATATGGGAAGTCACAGAAAAAATAAGAACAGTAACGTGCGATGTTGTTGAAGATGCATTATGTGAAAACCTAAGAATTATTTAAAAGAGAAAGAAATTAAACCACTTAGGATGCTGTTCCATAACACAAGCATTGGAGGGAACACCATATTGACCTCAATGCATTTCAGGGTGGAAAGGATCCCATACATTATCTAAAGAAATCCATTCAAATCTGATTTCACAGTCTATACTTCTTTTCTTATTTTCGCTTACAGAGAAAGAATTTGGGATTCTTCCTCCCAACACTTGTAGAAGGAGGGACAAAATCACTCATCTTAGTGTATAGTTTAATGAGCCACTGGTAATCTGTTTTTTTTTAAAAAAATAACTTTCTCCACCATAGCTGTGGATATGAAGGAGCACTTTATACAGGTCTAGTTTTGTTGTTACAATAAACACAAAATATATACAAAAAAAGCAGATGCTTGATTTTTTTAAAAAAAGAATCTGTTTTCCATTAGGTTATCTTGATAGCTGAAGTTAAGCATTACTTTGGACCATATATGATTTAGCTATTATGTCATTAATTCATGTACGATTCATGTACAATCCATCT